TATCATTCTCTACACACACATATTAAAATGTGTAACCAAGGAAAATACTCCATTTAACTACTTTTTTATTCATCTTTCTGCTTCTAGCAGACATTGCTTTTATGGAACTAGAGTTTTACACTCAAATATATCAAGGGAACAGTGAAAAGAATAAAGAAATGCTCAACATAAGTCTCTTGACTAGCTCACCAATCTAGAGGATCGTTTTTCATGCGCAGGTTATCCCTCGGAAAGTAACCAGGTGGGTAACGCAGGTTGTGATACTGATCCCACAAAACTCTCTTACTGCGAGGTGGTGTCGGAATAATCTTCACCTTGACTGGCAACTTCACTGTTGATGTCATTTCATTGCCATTTTTTGACTTAAAGACAAGAGGCAGGACCAGTTAGCAATATACACACACGTGCACAGAATGTCAACACTTGAAGTTCAGGTTGTTTGGTAAACAAATAAAAATAGAAAATACGGGATTCTAAATCTACCCAGCAGGCAAAGTATAATCTCCAACATTGACAACTAGCTCCTGCACAACAAATTGGAGTTAAGTTGCAAGATCATATCAATTACTCATCAGCACAACAGAACTGATGGTTTGAATTGTTCCTGGAAAGCCATGACAGCCACTTCATTTTCCCAAAGAACATTCATTTCCATTTGTGCCATCTGCACAACTTGGCTTTAAAGAATTCATTCACAAACAGGAAGCAGCTAGCTTATAGGCATTTTAGTGAATTTTACTTTAAATAATGAATCAAAGAATTCACTTCCACTTTTTAATCCAACAGCTACAAAAACAAAAATGGGAAAAACAAATTTAGTACTGAAATATAACATCTTATTTTGATTTTTCAGTAATAAATGCAGTCAGGAACATTTTCTTTCCATCATAAACAGCTGTGGAAATATAAAGTCCCTGCCCTTAAAAAGGCTGCACATATTGGATCAATCAAAATTTTCATGAACGATATTGACAGACATTGATGGAGGCAGGACAATAAGGTGATGGGAGATGACATGCAGATTAGCTAGAAATTAGATGGCCTATTCCTGTTCCTTCCTCTCCACCCCATGTAAACATTAGCTCCAGTATGTGCAAATAGACTTGGAGAAATCAGTGTTTCACATACATCAAATTACTCTGAAGTGAAGCAACTTCCGTAGGAAACTCTGCCAAAGCAGAGAAGACTTAGAAAACCTTACTTCAGGTTGAGCAGAATTGGAGTATTGACGTAAAAAGACATTTTGTTGCAGTTTTTCAACTTGCATCCATCAAGACAATTTGCTAGAATGCCAATTTGCAAGGGAAAAACCAGCATTTGTACTGATAGACAGGACAGTGTAGGTTAGTTGGCAAGTGGACTCTGATTAGTAGAGGTGCTGCGATGGAGAACACAGCAGTTACTGGATTAACTTAATTGCCAGACTTTGTTTAATTTCGAGCTAGGCAGGTTGACTCCCATTTATCAAGGCATTGCCCTGAGCAATGAGCCAGCAAATGGCTGTCATCTATTTACTTGAGGTGAAATGGGAGGAGGGTGTGCACGTTCTGTCTGTCTGAAAAGAACACAGCCCTGTGTATTAATATGTAGCTTTCCAGCAGACCCAAATAGCAAATCCTAAATTGGTTATCTGCATAATTTGCTGCACAAATCAAGGTTATCTAGCAAATGTCCAATGGCAGAATCCCTTCTAATTATGGAGTCTATATTGTTGGCTTTGCAAGCACAGACTGGTCGGGTACAATGAGTACTTTGCTTGTAGCGAACAGCCAAAGGATGTTGTTTGATATGATACGCCAGTGTTTGGAAAATATGGTCTACATACCTGGAATCACACTGGTATGGAAATTCATATCAGATTACTCATTTGAGAGAGGGGCAGAATTCCTTTTTGGATTGATATCACCACCCAATTACTGGCAAGCACTACTCATGTTGCATAGTGAATGGGAACGCTGCCCTGATGGGTGCATGACTTACAACTTTGACAAATGTCTTTTTTTGTAATACTGAAGATAAACTGGAGGTCAAGAAAAAAATTGTGGCTGTAAGAGCTGTTCCTTTGAGGTATTTTCAGTGTTGGAGCCGATTTCCTCGAATTCTAAGAGCAGCAATTACTGTTTTATAAGCTATTGCATGGTTTTGGAACTTTGGGGGAGAAAGAGATCAAAACAATGGCATTTTAAAAAGGAGGAAGTGATTCAAAACAGAACAAAACCTACAATGCTGTCTGACTCAGCAGTAATTTGCAAAACTGCTCCCTTTGCTGTTTGGTTTCAACTTCTTCATGCAAAGCGTGGTGCATGTATGGAATGAGCTGCCATAGGAAGTGGTGGAGGCTGGTACAGTTACAACATTTAAAACACATCTGGATGGGTATATGAATGGGAAGGGTTTAAAAGGGATATGGCCCAAATGCTGGAAAATGGGACTAGATTTATTTAGGATATCTGATCAGCATGGACAAGTTGGACCCAAGGGTCTGTTTCCGTGTTGTATATTTCTATTACTCTAAAAGGGTCACAATACTGACATTTTTAAAAATGTCAGTAATGTACACACTCAACCATATTTATTTTATGTTAAACTAAACCAAATAACGAACACTTGATTAAAAATGTGCATTCGCAAATTGCTTTTGGAATTAGTTCTACAAAAACAGGGTCACTGGCAAAATCAGTATTCAAGCTCAATCTGGATGATTGGCTTTGCAGTTCGTTGCTTCTGTCTTTTATCATCTTGTTCGTCTAATGAGATAACAGTAAATTGGGTTTGAATCTCATACAATTTACAGGTTTTAATTCTTCCATGCCTGTAGATGAGTAAATATTGCTGTTGCCAAAGCATTCCAAAGATCAACTGCCCATTTTGAAAGGACTGGGCTAATCTTCTCCTGTCCCCCAGTTAAGTTCACCACTATTTTAAATATCAGCTCGTGGCATTCTAAAAGAGACAACCCACCAACTTAACAAGTAGTGCTTAAAATTTGGTCTGCAACATGTGCATTACAACAATCTAACATACTAGGCAACACAACCACTCAACTGAAAGACTGATAAATTCTGAGAAGTTGACAAGGCAAGTAATATGGCGACAATCATTAGCTATTTCAGCTTTTATTTTTGTTTGCAGGTTGTGGTGATGCTGGTAACACTGCATTTATTGCCTGTTGCTAATTGCCTTGATGGTGGTGGACAACCTTCTTCTTGAGCTACCCCAGTTCAATGATGCTGGGAGATTGGCTCAACAATACATATCCAAAGCAAAAGGCACGCAACTGAGACAATAGAGTTCCCGTACCATTAATGTTAATTTTTTTCTGATGGTACAGTTCACGATGGGAGGGAGGTTCTTTTAAAATAACCTCAGAGTTGCTGCAGTGCATCCCACAGGTAGTACAGCTTGCGTTTGTCCGCCTTGGAGGAGATGATTATGAGGTTAAGTGGCACATTTCAGTACTCTATCAAGTGATCTTCAGACATAAATAAACTAAAGCATGCATTATATCCTCATTCTCCTGCAGGACAGTTCTTTTCTGCTGGTGCACTTTTAGACGCTCTTCATTTGTTCATTTTTAGTGCTCCATCAGCATATTTGCGGATAAGTATGAGGCATTACTTCCTAAATCTAGACAATATTTTAGTTTTACAAGATAACAAGCACGAGAGAAACCATTGATCTGATACTTACATCATTTTCAGCTGGTGAGGCAACAGTAACCATCACATGGCCCTGAGCAATGCCTTCCCACGATGCAGCTTTTTTGGTGACAGATATTGAAATAGCTAGAAAGCCAGACCAAGGCCAGAGGACTTGGGAATAGGAAAAAGCGACCTCTATGTTGTCTCCATTCTGGGGTAAATACGGCTGCCATATTGGCTAAGAACAAAACATGAAGACCGTGTAAAAAAGCCTTGCATATAATTGACAAGAAACATCACTGATTTATAAATCAGAATGGGGAAGGAGGCTGAAAAAGGAAATCTAACAGAATTTAGTTTCTACAAACGAAAAGGGCAGCCATAATTTCTAACCTCAGGCAACTCAGCTACTAAAATTCCTGATGGTGCACATAAAACAAATATGGAGCTAAAAGATAACTGTTCTTGCTTCACAGGGAGTCTCTAACATGATTCAAACCTAAATGAAGGTAAGATGTTTCCCCTGGTTGGAAAATCTAAAACCAGAGGACACTGTTTCAAAGTCAGGGGGAAGCCGCTTAGAGCTGAGATGAGGAGAATTGTTGGTCTTGTTAATCTTTCAAATTATCTGTGAAAGTTTAGTCATTGAGTATGTTTAAAGTGGAAACTGACAGATTTCTAAACAGTCTTGAAGTAAAAGGCATTTAGGCATAGTGTGGGAAAGGGACATTGCAGTGGATGATCAACCATATTGTACTGAATGACTGAGCAGGCTTGGTGGGCTGAATGGCTTACTTCTGCTCTTACGTCCTTTTGTCTTTTATTTAAAAGACAAGGCAAGCCTGGTGTTAGACCTAAATGTAGTCCACTTACAATCTTTCTTATCATTAGAAGATATGGAAAGACTCAAACCACTCTGCTGAATAGCTTGTAGGACTCTGCAGTCATCAGTTAACCAAAGAGGAAAAAAAATATAACCTTTGAAATCCAACAGAAAAAGGTTTGCAAGATGGCAGTTCAATTTTATTACTAAATCATATTCTTAAAATGCACAGCACTCTGCTCAATGCGCGTCTTTAGGCTGATGACTACCTTTAGCAAATGAGACTTCAGTCCATATTGACTATGGGGGCGAGAGCATTGAATTCCAATCAAACAGCTATGATAAAGTGGAGTTCCACAGCTTTAGAGAGGTTGAGAGGTCAGTTTAAAAGGATAGTAACATTTTATGAAACAGGCACCACTTCCAAATAAATCACAATAGGAAAAAGTAACATGGCTTCAGGCTTCTTTGAACTGAATTTAATATTAATGGCAGGGAATAAGTAGCACTGAGCAATCAGCATTCAAAAACGGACCATCAAGGGGGGTCTCGACACGAAACATCAGCTTTCCTGCTCCTCTGATGCTGCTTGGCCTGCTGTGTTCATCCAGCTCTACACCTTATCTCAGATTCTCCAGCATCGGCAGTTCCTACTATCTCCATCAAGTAAGGTTGTGGAGGCAAAAGCAGGAAATTAAAAACAAAAAGAAAGCAGGATCCAGTGATCAAGGGTGCTGAATGACTTTCCACCGGAATGAACTAAATTGGGTCGAATGTCTTCAGTCTAATTCTCATGCAAGCCACAAGATTCCACATTTACAACCATGCAGAAGGCTCAATTTGTTTTCTGTCTTTCACAGAAATTGAGTTACTCTTGCTATTTAAAAATTCTAATAGATTAGAAAGAACAGAAATCAGACATCTTGGCAATTTGAATCCATGAATCGAAGGGAAAGAAAAGAATTAGGAAAGAACTTGACAGCATAATGAAAATGACAGATGGGCAGAAAGAGTGAGTGGTACACATGAGCATGTCCAGGGCAAAAGACAAAGGTAGTGGTAATGATGGCGAAAGAGTGAGATACGTAAAGTAGGCATAAATGTTAGCTGTGAGAAGGAGAAAGATGGGATGGCTCTGCCAACAAGCCAAGAAGGACACAAACACAATACTGCTGGGGGAAAGTGTGAGGATGTAAGAAAAATGGAGTACAGACATCATACTCCAAAATTCAGAAACTATATTGAGCTGTAGAGGTTGTAAAGTGCCTGAGTGGAAAATGAGGTGCTGTTCCTCCAACTAGCATTGAGCTTCATTGGAACACTAGCAGGTCAAGGATGGGAATGTTAGCAAGATGTTTTATTCAAATGGCAGGCAACTGGAAGGTGAGAGTCATTCCTCTGGACAAAGTGGAAGTGTTCTGCACAGGGGTCACCCAGTCTCTGGTCTTGCCAGTGTAAAAGAGACATATTGTGAGCAGCGAATGCAGGAACTAGATTGAAAGAGGTATACACAAAATGCTGCTTCACCTGCAAAGTGTGTTTAGGCCCTTGGACAGTGAGGAGGCACATGAGCATGTTACACCTTCTGCAACCCAGAAGGTGCTGTAGGGAAGTGAGGAAGTGTTGGGAGTGATGAGGGTGTGGACCAGGGTGTGTCACAGTCCCTACGCAATGCTGAGAGGGGAGGGAAGGGGAAGATACGCTTGGTGACGGTATCTTGCTGAATGTAGCAGAAGTGGCAAAAATGATCCTTTGAATGCAGAGACTGATTGGATGGAAAGCTTAGTGGGGGCTCTTTACTGCCCTATCTGCTGTTCTGAGCTACTTCAGATCTTAAATTAATTATGCTCTTATGCTAATTAGTATAAGATGTATGTACCAGGTTAATTTCACTTTTGATGTACTCGGGTATTGTATTCATTCTATGTTTTTATGAGTAGACAACATATTTTACTGTTGTCTCCATGGTAGTTGCCTTCCACACAATATCTCTTCGCGCCAAGAAGAAAACTAACCTGACTTCTGAGCTGCATCAAAGCTAATTTGGATAGCATGCTGGCTCAGTGCAGCAGGGTCATGGATTTAACTACAGCCTTAGACAAGTGGCTGTGTGGAGTTTGCATGTTCTGCTCATGTCTGCATTGGTTTCCACCAGGTGCACTGGTTTTCATCCACTGTCCAGAGATGTGCAGGTTAGATGGACTGACCATGCCAAATTGCCCAATGATATCCAGGGATGTGCAGGCTAGGTGGATTAGCCATGGGAAATAAGAATTACTGGGATAGGGCAGGAGGCTGGACTGGGTCTGGGTGGAATGCTCTTTAGAGGTCAATGCGGACTCAATGGGCCGAATAGCCTCTTTGCACAGATTTTATGATTCTATGATTCTACTCCGATAACAGCTGTCAGGAGTTATGCAAGTGTAGCATGCAGTGGCTGTCCCTCACTGTGGAGGAGAGCTAGTAAATTTCCGTGAACGGCGATTAACTCAGATATGAAATTTTATTCAGGAAGGGCCTGTCACAAGACAACATGAATTTACAGTGTGGCAGTGTGTGTTTAGCCTGTGACGTATGAAAACATCATGCCGCCTCATATGAATTAATTCTTGCATATCACTCAGTTCCATTTTACTAAATAAAAATGAATGTGGCTACAATAATATTATATTGTCAATGTGACCAGTGAAACATCTGAACATCCACATTGCTGTTGTACATGCACATGTAATAATTGCTAATACAATTCACACACTATTTCTTGAGGAAATGAATGTTGATATCAGACTACTCATCTGTAGAAATCAGTACTACTCATCAAAAAGGCATTTCTGCTAATTTGCAAATTCTATATTGCTACCACCATCACATTACACTTACCTTGTCAATAATCCGACCTGTGACACCCATGCCATTTAAGATTGTTACATTGATGACAGTTGGCATTCCCCCACAATAGATGGGCTGGGAGCAGTAGGGCCACATATAAGGACACTCAGTTAGATCAATGTAGCTTGGGCTCAAGCTGAAAGGATAGAATGTTGGAAATTAGAGAATATAATGGACAGTCATATTAAGTAAAAAGTACAGTTGGATGCAACAGGTCCTCTTCACAACCAAACAAATAGCATGTCATTCAGTCAGGATCCATTTACATCTACATATCAAATAAAGAACTCTTTTTACCCATTAATTCTAAAGACACTGATGTTTCAGAAGAGAATATTAGCTGCACCACAGAGACATGTCACTGATCTTTGTTCTTTCTACTAATCGGCTACTAAGACACAATGATTTGAATTTGTAAAGTATCTTCAGCTTAATTCCAAGATTCAGCACGTAGCAGAAGACTTGGCGGTGGATGAGCTGGGAGTAACGACTAAAAATTTGGGTCAAATAGATACAGGGGCCTTTAAGACAGGAGAAGTAGTGCGGAAACCAAAATGCTTAATCCAGAGAACTGAAACATTCCACAATGCACAACTGGACACCTGAAAGTTCACACTACAGTATCACAAAACATGATCCAACCAGAGGTTGCGTATGATTGGTTTCATCATGAACTTCCTACTTCCTGCCTTACAGTCCACAAGATCCTTTCTCATATTCCTGTGAAACTCTGGTCTCAAACAGGAAGGAGTTGTTTAGATTTTTAAAGTCTAGATCAAAATGGAGAAGATAACCTGTCAGTTCAGTAAATCTTTTATAGTTGATTGGACAAATCAAATCAGTATCAACACTGTAGAGGAGGAATTCTGAATCAGTACATTGAGAAATTAGTGTATGACAATAAGCGTGCAGGGAATGCACAAACTGACTGTAAAAGCTTCTGTGGCCAGGTGAAGAAAGCGAAGCAAAAATTCACCACAGGACCAGAGAACCATGGAGATGCTGTCTTCTTAGACAGGACTGGAGGTGGTTTAACCTGAAGGTCACCAGAGGTAGGACCTCGAAGGTAATTGAACCTATATTACAGACCAGCCATCTGAGGTAACTGATATGGTTTACTTGGGCTCATGGAATTTCACTAAGGTCCCAAACAAGCAATTCATATGTAAAATTAAAGCACTTGGGATTAACATTGGTCTGATATGCAAACAGAACTGGTTGGCAGACAGGAAATAAAGAGTAGGACTAAAATGTGTCTTCTTCTGAGTGGCAGGCAGTAACTAATTAGGTATTACAGAAATCAATACCTGAGACCCCAGCTAGTCATGATACATTAAGGATTTAGATGAGGGAACTCAATGTAACATCTCCAAGATTGCAGACACACAAAGCAAGGTTGGAGGGTGAGCTATGAGAAGAATGTAGAGATGTTTCAGTTGATTAGGACAAATGTGAGTGGGTGGGCAAACGCATGACACATGAAGTACATTGCAGAATGTAAATGTGAGGCTCTCCACTTTGGTAGTAAAAGTAGGAAGGCAAATGATTATACAAATGGTGATAGTTTGGGAAAGGGGAAGGTGCAATGAGACCTGGGTGCCCTGGGATACCAGTCCCTGAAAGTATGCACGCAGATACAGCAGGCGATGAAGACGACAAATGGTATGTTTGCCTTTACAGCGGCAGGATTCAATACAGGAGCGAGGGAAGAGGGCAGTGAGTTGGATGATCAGCCATGATCATATTGAAATGTAGAGCAGGCCCAAAGGGCTGAATGGCCTACTCCTGCTCTGATTTTCTGCTTCTACATTATATATGGTTGCAGCATTGATGGATAAAACTTAATGCAAACAAAGGTACACTGTTGTAGAGGGGAAAGAAAAGCATGTGGTGTATACAATCCATGAATTATGCCAACAAGTGAGATGCGACGGTCTTTGCAGGCCAAACATTTAACACTTTCAAACAATGCTGAGCAAAGACAAAACAATGTCACGTTCTATTGTTTTAGTTACATATTTGAAGTTCTTAGAGTGTTCTAGTTTTACAGAACCTTGAGCAGTATATCCAATCCTGGTCACCAAGACACAAAGTAAATGATTAAACACTGAGGGCAGTCACAAGGCTGGTCTTATAGGACTACATTGCAAGAAATAGAGAAATATTTTCTTTCCAAGACAAAAATTCCACGTCTGAGATGAGATTTTATTAAAGGTGTTTAAGGAACGTGCAAGATAAAAACTGAAATATTATGTTCATTACTCACAAGAGGGTAACAATTTAAGCTTGTGATGATCAATTTAGGATCAGCAAGATAAATTTAATCAATTACTTAGTGAAGAATTACGGAATAAACTTCTAAGAAATATGATGGTTCAAAACCCTAGAATCTTTTCCATAATTCATCTTGAAAATTGTCCAACTCAGCCTAAGCCTCACCTTACCATCTAAGTAACTTTAGATATACCACATCTATGCACTTCTGAGCCAGTTTCCAACACTCCTTCTTCAGCAACCCCAAGCACATCCAAAACCATCTTTAGTGACTGGTCTCATCAAATTGCATTCACCCCTGGGCTTTCTGCCTTACAATGGTTCCTGGTTAGGCAACGCATACTTTAAAATTCCCTTGCTGGATTCAAAATCTTCCCAAAGCCTCATTCCGTCCTTATCGCTGTAATCACCTTCAGGTCCACAACTCTCCAAGATACCTGTGCTCCTCCAGTTTTAGTCTGACGCATCCCCAATTGTAAATAAACAAATCATGTCCTTACTACCAACAGCCTGGACTTACAGCTCTCAAATTTCCTTCCCAATCCCTTTTCTGACACTCCAAACCATTTTGTTCCTTTAAGTACTCCAAATCTGACCAAGCTTTCAGCCCGGTGAATTATCTTGGGATATTTTGTAACATTAAAAATGTGTTATACAAATAGCAGTTGGTGCTGTCATAAACAACTGGATGTAGAAAGGACTCAAGGAACTTCCTGGACAAGAAAGATAAACTAAATGGCATTCCTGACCTATAAGAATTTTGTCGTTCAATTAATTTCTCTGGAATACACAGTCCATTGAGCAAACTCATTGCAAACTGTTTAAAAAAGGCACGCTAATAGCATTACTTTCTCTTGCTCATTTTATGAAAATATTATGCCTCCTCACTCACCTGCTCTGTTCGCAACACATTAGCTCAGTGCAAAAAAGCTAAAGCATGTCACTTTCTCCAGCATGCATTGTCACTTGCTCCCAGCATACACTGTCACTCTTCAATCACACACAACAAGTTACGTGTTATAAAGATCCATTTGTAAAATATCCTCCTTTCAATCTAAGGCAGAGTTGGTCACCCCCAACCTCCAATTGGAACAACAAAAGATTAGAAACACTGAGAAGAATCATGGTGAAGCATTAGAGTATGTAGGAATGTGTTACAGCAGGAGGTCAGTTAGCTAATAAAGACAACAGCCTAATTTGGTTCAAAAATAATTATGGAAAGACAGCAGAAAATATCACTGATATTTCGTTGATTGAAGAAGATGCTGAGTACAGGTAGATTGGAAAAGGCAAATGATCAGGATAGCTGTAATGGAGCAAAGGAAAGATTCAGCAAAGTGATAAATTTTTAATTCATTCATGGGATATGGGAATTAGTAGCTGGGCCAGCATATTATGCCCATCCCTAATTACCCAGCGGACAGTTAAGAGTCAATTACAATCACCGTGGGCCTAGAGTCACATATAGGCCAGACAAGTACAGCAGTTTCCTTCCCCAAAGAACATCAGTGAACCAGATAGGTTTTTAAAAGTTCAGGTATAAACTAGGAACTTACTAGGAACTTTCCTGTGAAGCTAAAGAACCCTGGATAAAAATGGAAATTTTAAGAAAACAAACAACGAAAGACTTTAAGCAGAAAAGTTATGGAAAGGAAGAAATTTAAAAAAAACTGATCTTGGATGGGGATGAGAAAAAATAAGATAATGAGAAACAACTAACAGTATCAGTAAATTGATACTCATAATAACGAACATGAAAATCCTCAATTAACAAACATAAAAAAGTCTAAGTTGCTAAATGAGGAAAAAGTTAGGCCCATTAAGGACACAAAGGGAAATAATCTGGGCAACGATTAACATATTGTACTTCACCACTTCACAAAGGAAGATGATGTGAACGTGAACAGAAAAGATTATGGGCAGAGTAGCTCTAGGTAACAGAATATGCAGTAAATAGATAAACATTATCAAAAATTGGTACATCAGCCAAATCAGAATGAGTGCATCCTAGGTTGTTTGAAGTAGCTAAGTTAGAAATATCAGAGGCATTGGTAAAATTCTTTCAACCTTTATTAAACACAGAAGTACTACAAGAGCACTGGCAACTTCTTATTGTTGTTCCAGCTTTCAAGAAATGGAATAGAGATAAACCAAGGAACTACAAGCCTAACATCAGTGCTGGTGAAGTTATTGGAAACAACCATCAGAGACAATTTAAACTATCTTATGTGAAGCAATGGGTTAATCAAGGACAGCCAATATAGGCTTGTTAAAAGGCAAATGGCGTTTTAATAAACTGATAAGTTACCTCCAAGGAATTCAAAGATTGATGGAGAATGACAAACGTTGTATAGAAATTTTGGAAGAAGCAAGACAAAGTGCCACAAGGAGGCTTACTTAAGGAGAAGGAAGACCACAGATTCCAGGGGAAGAGGGCAGTATAAATACAAAATGGTCTTGGTAATAAAGGAACAGAGGCTGTTGACAGATGGACGGAAACACAGAAGCTAGAATAAAACTAGGTTATTTGGCCATTGGAGTCTGTTCTGCCTTCCTTCACTGCCTTCTGTGGTAATGAAGGCCACAGGTTGACCATTGTCTGAAATGAAGAAATATTTTCTCATCTCAGTCCTAAATGGCCTATCCAACATCCTGAAATGCTGGCCCCTCATTCTAGACTCCCAGCAAGGGGAAACATCATGCATCTCATCTGTCTAGCCCTCTTAAAATTCTATACATCTCAATCAGATTTCCAGTCATTTCTGAACCCAAGGTAAATGCAGGCCCAGTCGAACCTACTCTTTTCATCATCAGTTCTGCTATCCCAGTATCAGCCCAAATCCTGGCAGCATTCCCTCTATG